ATTTTGATGTTCAGGGCGAAACAAAAAATCCCCTCTCAGGCTCTCCATCGGAGGAGCTTTTTAATCTCTTTCCGGTGAGGTGAGAACTCGTCTTCCAGGTTGAATTTTAGAAGAACAATGGAACCCTGAGTACATCGAAACAAAAATATAACTTGTTCCCCCCCCCATTGGGTGTTGGCTTTTAACTCTTTCAAAGCTGATTTTAAAAGCGGCTGCAGGGTTGTAGAGGCGAAGGTCCTTACTACTTATCAAACCTTTATGGCGCTAAGGTGGTCCTCTAAAAATGCGAGTTGGAGAAATTAGGAAGAGCCAGTGTATGGCGTCACCAGGGGTGTTTTCATGGAAGGGGATTGATCCTTAGGAGGCTAGGTGATGACGTTTGATTAGGATAGTTTATTTTGCCGAGAATTATGCCACGATCGTTTGACATCCTGATCGTTGAATATGATTGAATATGCTGCTGGCTACTTTTAAAAAAGGTCGTAGGGAGCCGTTATCTAACTTCAACCACCTGAATATGAAAACGTACTTAGGTCAGTTCCTAGTCTTTAAAAGTTGAAGTTCATAATCTTATTATTGTGTATTATCATAAGCTGGGATGGAAAAACTTTTCCCGAGGAAGATTCTGACACCAGATATCTTGGTGAAGTTACTTTCTCGTGTAAATGTTGAAGTAGAACTGCTCTCGGTAATAGGCGGTGGAGAGGAGCCATGTTTGTTGCATGTATAAAAATCTAGGTGGATTTAAAAACGAACAGTGTTAAAAATACAGGTTTCAAGAAATCACAGTGTTCTCCGCATAGCCTGTAATTAAAAAAACATATTTGAAGGGGAATTTAGGTTTAAAGGTTTGGGGAAAAAACTAGGAGCGCACAAACCTTTGTGTATTGTAGAATATATTTATCTTCATTTTGGAGAGCTTATGTGTTTTAAAGGTGCAGATCTTTGTAAAAATACTAATGGGAAAACTAGCGTAGTACATCGGAAATCAAAGGTACTGGTTTATTTGACCATGTTTGTAAGGGTTTTTTTTTTCCAGCAAAATTATTTTTTTTAAACTACGTTTCATATAGTGATATATATTACATCAGTTGCGCATATCTTGCTTTTACAGACTGATTAAATAGCCGTTTTGATTGTTAAACGTTTTTGAAATTTTTGAACATCGCAAGTGGTTTTAAATACTCAGACTCTAGTTCTTCAGAATCCTATTAGGATAGTGAAATGCAAAAATAATTGAAGTAGTTTAACATCATGAGGTGTTTTTACATGGTAAATGGGGGAGGAAAAAGACTGAAAATATTCAACACTGGTTTAAAATTAACATCATAGATACTACAAGTTTTAGACTTAGAAGAAAAAGCAAATATCCCACGGGGAGAGATCAGATAACTTGTGGTTTAAAATTTAAAGTAACCAGTGGCCATTTTAACTTCACCAGTTTTTCTTGGAGGAGTTAATTTTTAATTGCTCATAACTGTAAAAGATTTCTACATAGTCAAGGACATTTTGGGATGATTACAGGCTTTAAATGGTAAACTTTTCTTTGTTTTTGTTTGTTGCCTGGCATCAAAACAGGAAAAATAAAGGCAAGGTCATGATTTTAAATCTGTCCAAACACCTGAATTTTCCGTATTTCTTTTAAATCCTAATGCAGTAATCTCCAGTATTTGCTAACACATCCAAGAGATAAAGAAAACAAAGATTGATAAAATAATAAAAAAAAATTGTAGCCATAAACGTACAGGTTGTGTGACTGTGAGCCTTCTCTGAAGTTTACCCATAGATGTAGTCTTTGGAATATTTTTTCATTATTTCATCACACAATCTTTGGCCAACAAATACTTAAAAATCAAAACATTGATGTCATCTTTTTTTTTTTTTAAAGGTAACTTGCAAGATTAAAATTAATTTGCTGGTGGTTCTGAACAAATATGTACGGCTGTTTTATCCCAGGTAAGATCTGATAAATTGTTAATTTGACATAAAAATTAACTTCTTGGGTTTTTGTTTTGCTTTTTGATGATTTTGTTTACAGTCATTTCAAGTAGCAGTGATTATGATTTTTAAGTAATCTTAAAAAAATGATATCAAATAAATTTTGAGAAGCTTTTCATCCTTTTTACTGAAAGATTAAAAGTGTATGTATATAGCCACTGTAATGCAGTTTTCCATTGAATAGTTTGAAATACTGAAAGACTTTTAAACCTTTGTTCAATTTTGGGAATAGTAAAGCACATTATATTTGGGAAAAATCATGGGTATTTTTTCCTTTGATCGCCACAGTATACCATGGGAATGATTTTAAATTCTAAATATTCAAAAAAATACATTTGTTGGAGATAAGAAAGAACATTTTAAATTATCCATGGATTTTAGTATTTTTTCATATAATCAGATTTTAAAACAATCAGATTTTAAAACATTTTTCTTGGTATTTATTGCTTCATCAGTAAGTTTAGAATATTGTTTGTTTTCCCCAAAAGGTCCATTATTTTGAAGACTGAGTTTTATTCCTGAGGATAAAGAAAGTGCTTGGAAAAGTCTGTTTTATATCGCAAGTAAGTACATGTTTTCACTCAGAATTGGAAATTGAATAGTTAGCAACATATGTGAAAAAAATATCACTAAAGTTAGTGAAACCAAACTGGACTGTTTTTAATCTCTAAAAAGAAGATGTGAAGTGTGACCCATCAAATTCCTTTTATCTTACATTAGAACACCTGTATTATTAACATTGTGATGAAATTTGTATCAGTGTAATAGTAAGGTATTTAGTATTGTCCAATAAAATGGTGCTTTAAAATTGTGGTTAAATCTGTGGTACACACCAAGATTATTATCTTTTTCAGTCTGAAAGGTACATTCTTTAGTCTTAAAAAATTTTATGATACAGATCACATTTTGATAATGTGATGGCCTTAAGTGCACTGATCTTAGAATTTTTGTAATAACTGCCCTTTAAAAATGCCTTTTCAAAAGTAAAAATGCCATTTCATATCTTTTATTAACTATGTTTAATATACTTACTTTACCCTTCATTAGTTTTATTTTTATAAACTAGTACAAAACTGAGTTGTTTTATAGGTAACTAGAATATTACATTAAAGAGAGCTCTAATTTATAGCTTGGTAATTGCTTCTAAAGTGTAAAAGTAGAAATAATTTTCAAGTACAATAGATACTGAGCTTTGGCATACCATGGGAGCAATACATTAACATCTTAAAACTAGATACATGAATGAAGAAAATACTTCTGATATTTTTAAGGAAATGTAAGTATATGTAAAGTTAACACTGAATCTGGAGTTAATGCCAAGTTGTTATGAGTGATTGGCCAGAGGAAATATAAGCTATATGTATATTATTATATATAAGCTTATATATATAAGAAGTAGTTTGGAAAATTTTAAGAGGAGCTAAATGACCAAAAACTTTAAGGCCAAGTTAACTTATCTGAAATTATGTGGGAAAGAACTGACATTCATTGGTTGATATTAGTTTATTCCATTGATTCAAATAGGTGATAAGAGGAATACTTTTATTGCTTTTCTTTGACTTAAATTTTTCCTTTTTAATACTTTATGCAGTTTGATCCAGTTTGTACTGTGTGCAAAAGAAAATTCAGTTACATTTCAGCTGTAGTGTTTAAGAATAGGACATACAAAAAAGTCGAAACGTTTTTCATCTCCAGCTTTAACACAAATGCCAAGATGAGGGTGTTCTTTATGTAGTTAATAGGGTATTAAATTGGAATTTTTAAAAAAAATGCGAGGCATAACATAAGATTAAATATTAATAGGTGCTATATTTATCATGGTCTATCAGAGAAATAATTTGATCCATTAACGGAAGAAATGAGCTGAAGGTTAGAAATTTTAAATGAGAATTTTAATCTTTTGTCTTAGGGTAAAAATTTTAAAAAATGTTTCAAATGATACAGAAACCTTGTAAATTAATAGCCAGTATAATGGAATACAGCTTTTATAACCAACAAGATAAAGGATTATAATAAATAATTTTAGGAAGAACCCCATGTACTTGTATCTTTATGATAGTACCTATATTCACTGTTCTGTTTATTGCCTGAGCCAGTTTTACCTAGTGGACAAAAGGATTGCAACATGAAAATGAATGTAAATGGCCGGGTGTGGTGACAGATACCTGTAATCCCAGCCCTCAAGAGGCTGAGGTGGGAGGATCGCTGTGAGTTTGAGACCAACCTGGGCTACATAGTGAGTTCCATGTCAGTCTCAACTACATAGTGATACCCTGTCTCAAAAAAAAAAAGTAAATGTAGATATTGTCAAACTTAGGTTAAAGTTATATTACCTAGTATTGTATCACCTAAGATATACACAGTAGATAAGTAGATGCTGTTGTATTGCTTTAAATTGTTTTATTTCATGAAAAAGGTTTACTTGTGTTTCTGCTTAAGAACCAAAGCAATGGATACTTGTTATTTTATTGTAGCCTTTTGAGCTGAGTTTTGAGTCCTAAAAATCTGACCAAATAGCTACTAGGTTGGATTGTACTTCTATTCTGGTAACTTTAAAAAATTAAACTGAGATTCCACTTAAATGAAATCTTTACTGTAGCTAATCACAAGGTTTGTTGAACCACAACATGGCATTTAGTGTAGATTATATAAAATTGTTAATTTAAATACAATTTTTAAAATTTAGTCTACTACTCAGTTTTGTTTCTTTTTCAAGACCAGGGTCTTGCTATGTAGTCCAGGCTGGCCTTGAACTCAATGTGTAGCCGAGGTTGACCTTGAGCTCTTGGTGATCCTCCTGCCTCAGCCTCCTGAGATTGGGATTATAGGCGTGCTATCTTCATGCCTGGCTAGCTGTTTTAATCAGATGTGTGATAGAGAGTAGAATTTAACTAATTCAGCAATCAGGAGACAGCTTCTGATGTAAACAACTGCTGCAATCTTGACATTTTATTGTGTACACCTTCATCTTGTAATTTTTAGGAATGCTTTTGAGTTTATAATCTCTTAGAGTCCCTCTTAGCTCTTAAATTATTGGATATAAGTAATGATAAGTATCAAATTATCTAATACAGACTAATTTTTATATTGCAAGTCACGTGATGAAACTACTTGAATAACATAAGACCTGAGATGATAGTTACTTGATTTTCTTACTAATTTTTAGGTATTTGAGAACAGTAATAAATAGTATAAATATGTACGAAAAAGTAATTGGAGTGTGAGTTTGTTTAAACAATAAAGACCAAAAACAATTGTTGGGTTTTCTAATTTATTAAATATATCTAATGTAAAGTCGGGTTTATATTTATGTAATGTTTGGAGCTGGCCAAGATTGTAAACAAGAGGATTTGTAGTTTGCATGTCTGATACAGTCTGTTGAATTTCCTTTAAGAAATTTCTGTTTTTCAGAAAGAAATACCCTTATTTTAGCAGCTATCATCCCCTTCAAGATTGAATGCAAATTTTTCTTTTCCTTTTTTTTTTTTTTTTTTTTTTTTTTTTTTTTTTTTTTTTTGGTTTCATTAATTGTGGCCTTGAACTCATGCTAGCACAGGCTGGCCTACAACTGTCGGGATCCTACTGCCTCAGCCTCAGTGCTGGGATTGCAGGCATATGCCACCATGCCCAGCTAAATGTGAACTTTTATTTTCACATTGCCTGTTTCTAAATGTAATTAGCCTGTACAATTCAAACTGAATTTTGAATTTCATGCCATCAATAAAATGTGTGCTGATATAACATTTAAATATCATTAAAATCGAATGAGTTGTGATTTATGTTATATAATAGCGGGTCTATTTAAAAAAAAGTCTCCTTTACCTTTTGGAACTTAGTTATTTGAAATTGAGTATTACTATATAAGCAACTAAATATTGAGTATGTACTGTGCAGTAGTCATAATTCTTTTTTTTTTTTTTGTGGTACCGGAGATTGAACTCAGGTCCTTGTGCTTGCGAGGCAGACGACAGAACCACTGAGCCAAATCCCTGGCCCCAGTCATAATTCTAATTTAGATTATCACGCTAGATGTTTTTCTAAGTGTAATGGTTTAAAACACAGTCTTAGAAATATTAATGATTTTGTCATGACATATCATCCCCCACTTTTGTACAAAGTTCCTTACATTTTACAGAGCTCTCAAATTTTTCTTTTTTTCTTCTTCAGTACTTGGGATTGATCCTAGGGCCTTTGCACTGAGCTTTGTTCCTGACTCTTTTTTTTGTTGTTTTGTTTTGTTTTGTTTTTTGAGACAGGGTCTCACTATGTGGTTGAGACTGACCTGGAACTCACTGTGTAGCCCAGGCTGGTCTCCAACTCACAGTAATCCTCCTGCCTCAGCCTCCCAAGTGCTGGGATTACAGGCGCAAGCCACCACGCCCGGCCTGACTCTTTTATTTGCTATTTTTAGAAAAGGTTTTGCTAAATTGCTAATCCTGACGGCTGGAATTTGGAACCCTCCTACCTTAGTCTCCCAGAGTAATGTGGTCAGCTACACCTGGCTTTAACTTTGTGTTTGTTGGTTTTATTTTTTATTTTTTTATTACTATTTTTTTTTTAGTTTCTTTGGGACAGGGTCTCACTATGTAGTTGAGACTGACCTGGAACTCACTGTGTAGCCCTGGCTGGTCTCGAACTCAGCAATCCTCCTGCCTCAGCCTCCTGCGTGTTGGGATTACAGGGGTGTACCACCATGCCCAGCTTTATGTTAAATTTTAAAAGTTCCTAAAGAATTAAAAAAGTGAAGTGACTAAAGCTGTCTTTGCCTTTTATTATTAAAGATCCGGCAACAAAAGTGGTTGTTTACATTTATGTGTAGTTCTATTATTAAATCACAAACCATAATATTGCAAAATACTTAGGATAGGTAGAAATATAAAGAATCATTGATCTTCATAGTCTCTGTAAGCTGAACTCTGTTCTCTCATTCCCCGTTTTAAAATGTGGGCAAATGTTATCCCAGACTTGGTCACATTTGGGAAAGGAGAGGAGAGGGTGTAGTATATTACTGTCAGAAGTAGTTTTGGGGGTGCAAAGAAAGATCCAAGCCTGTGTTTGGGGTGTGAGAACTGGTACTGGTGGTAATTTAGAAGCTCACCAGACCAGTGTGAGTGAGGCTCTGGATAGTGCTTTCGTGTACCCTTCGATAGCTCAGCGGGTAGAGCTGCGGACTTCAGACTAGACGGACATTTCTTTTGCCCTGATTTCTTACCTTCGTGCTACCTTTCTAGGGATTAAATTAGTTTATCTGGTTGGTTTAAGACTTGTCTTTTCACAAAATCTTCTCTTCCCTGTAAGGTCATAATTAAATTTGGAAGTTAAAAAAAGTGGTTTTTTTAAGCCTCCTTATTTTTTAGCTGGGAAGATATTTTAGTATGTGTTGTTCAAGGAATTTTAAAGCAGTTCTTTTGTTTCCTGATGGTGATTTGTCATAATGGCTGAATGAATTTAGTTTTTGTAAAATAAACAGGGTCTTGTTCTTTCATCTGAAAACTGGTCCTAAAAGTATTTTCATAGCTTAACATTAAGTTAAATCCTAAAGTTAAGCGCTGTGGTCTTTTGCCTTCTGAAAATTTATTCATCTGCAACTTTTAGACAGCGCTTTGGTATTTCTAGCCCTTCCCCAACCTAGTGTCTCACTCCTGCTAGGCAAGCACTCTACCACTGAGCTACATCCCCAACCCTTCCGTTATGTATTACTGTGACTGTAATTATGTTTAAGAGTAGTGACTAAAAACAGTGTATGTATGCTTACATTGGGATATTTAAGATACAGAAAACACTTACATTTAGTGGGTATTTGAGTCCAGTGTAAAGCATATATAGAATAGTTTTTAAGTACACATTTCAGGGAGCACTTGCATTACCTTAATTGATTAGATCAGTACAATGAATAATAGTTTTAAATAATGCACAATGTTTCCTTTCAAGTACTTTACCTAGCAGTATTGATTATATGATTAAATGTGTGGGAATACGGTAATACTGAAGGAATGACCTTGTACTGGAGAATGAAAACTTCCTTTTAGAAGGCCTGAAACTGGGTTAGATGAAAGAACAGAGCATGAAATAAAATTCTGTTAGAAGTGATTTTTTTTTTTTTTTTTTACATATGTGGTTATTCACCATTTCTCCCCAGGGAGCCCAAATATTTATGTGCTTATACCTTTGGAGTTCCAGGAGACTGAGATAGATGTGCAGTTTTCATAGTAACTTAGGCTAGACGTGAGCCTCCTGCTCTGCCAACTTTAAGATTCTATCAGGGCTTTTTGATCTTTTCCTTGGACCATATTGTTCATAGATACACTTCTGGGTCTGTTGAGTGATCTTTACAAGATGTTGAAGTTTTAGTATAATGGTATTTAATCTCTTTTTGTTGTTTCTTAGGCATAAAATTATATTCTTTTTGTCTTATGCAGAAGTGCGAATCCCCAGACTGATAGTATGAAGGGCCTGTACAGTATAGCAGACTTGGAAACAGTAAGTATTATCCAATTTGCATGTTTTTGTAAATGTGACTGGAAATTTCTAGTTGGTATTATGAAAACGTAGAAGGAGTGGTAAAGCTTAGAAAAGTACAGGGACATCAGCCTGCTTAGGTCTGTGTGCAGTTCATTAATTAAAGTCTGCTTTTTATTTACTTGTCTATTTCTGTTTTCTTCACTTAAACTCAGGCAGAATTAAAATGCATATAAACCCACACTAGGGCATGCTTCTGAGATTCTTCTTAGATCTGGGTGTTGGAAACTTCCCTCTTGTTTTTACAAGTAAACTTTTTTGTAGTACACCTGCATTCTTTAATGTGGATGCCTTGTGGTTGCTTTCCCCCCACAATTTGAAGAGTTGAGAATAGTTGTAGCAAATAGCCACATAGTCTAAAAAATTCACTGCGTTGTTCCCTAAGAAAATTTGCTGACTCTTTGTTCTAGATCTGTCTTGACTCCTTAGCCATACCATACCTACATAGAACTCAGAAGCTGCTGGGTTCTCTTTTAGTAATAAGACGTATTTTTTTGTTTTGGGGGGAGTTTTTTTGTTTTGTTTTGTTTGTTTTTTGAACTGGGAATTGAACTCTGGGCCTTCCTCTTGCCAGGCAGGTGCTGTGCTGCTGAGCTACATTCACAGCATAAACCGTATTTTCTAAATTATTTCCAATGTTAAATTACCTCTAATAAATTAAGTAATTCAGAGCTTTCTTACGCGTAGAGGCCCAATGCAAAGGTCTTTAGCCTGGTTGACCCTGACATTTATGATTGGATATTAGAAGAGGTATTAACTGTGACTACTGTGTAATAGCTTCTCTACTCCAAACCTGAGAAATATTGGAAAAGAATCAGGTTGTTTATAAATGAATTTGGTTGCATTCTCAAAAGGATTTTATTATTGACAACTTTTTCGGCAGTTGTTTAAGAGGTGTTTCATAAGAGTGATTCTTTTTGAAACATTTGGGAATCTACATTCTAGGTGATTATTTTTCTACTTTAGTTTCTATTGTATAAATGGCTTCTAGGGCCTACAAAACAGAAGTTTCTATCCTTTTTGATGAGGGAGATTGAGTAGAACTGAAAACTTCCCTAATGTAGTTCAAGTAATAGTCTCATGTCTGATCATATTTAAATGACGTCAGTTGCCTAACACATAGTATATGCTCAAGAAATACTTTTTATTGTATAAATATCGCTTTTGTTAACAGTGTTTACCAACTAGTGTTTTGGGTCTAATAAAATGTAAAGATGCAGTTTTAATGTGTTAAATACTAATTTTATGTCTGAAGGTTTAAATTTTTCTCAGTAAAAATTAAATATGTCAAGATCTTCTTATCTTTCGTATTCTCCTTCCCTTTCTGACAAACCTTGTTCTCTATGTAGTCAAGCTTGAAACCAATAGAGGGGCAATTGGGAAGATTTAATTGTAAATTCTTAGAAAAGATGATTCCTTTTCTTGATTAACATAATTGACCTTAGGAAGTTCTCAGTAATGAATAACTGGCTGGTCTTTTTCAAATCATTCTATAATTAGTGTTTGTGCCTATGTCATTTAAGATACGTCTATTGATGATTCAGTTTTTTTTTAAGACAATTACATTAGTTTACTTTTCAGCGATAGTTTTTAGATTTAAGGACAATGTTCAAAGAGAACATGGAAATCAAGTCATAATCACCAAGAATCTTAATTACATGATGGAAAGAATGAATTTTCATTCTAGTATATTATTTTCTATCTGTCCCATTGGTTTTAAAGTAAGTGTTTAATAATTTTATTTTTATTTATTTATTTATTTATTTTTTGGTACTGGGGATAAAAGTCAGGACCTTGAGCTTGCAAGGCAGGCAGCAGAACCACTGAGCTAAATCCCCAGCTTGTAAGTGTTTTAAGTTTTAACATAATACAAATTACATTAATGCTAGCTTTTTTTTTAGAGCCAGCCATTTTAAAATTTAAGTATTGTTTCTTTGCTTTTGTTCCTCTCTGCCCCTCACATTTTTCTTTGCTATTAAAAATGGGAAGGTTTTCAGAGCGGTAAGATGATTTTAGAGGAGCACACCTTAAACCCAATCTAGATGATGAAGCATTGCCTACATTTCAATTTACAGTGTATTTTATAATGTCCCAGCATTTTTGGAACAACTTTACTGAAGTACAATTGAAGGAAAAGACTCCCATGCTTAATTTTATGTTCTTAATTTAGGAATGTGTGCAGTATTTGGAGATTGGAGAAGGTAGCAGTTACTCATTACCTTGTTGCCATTGAAACTTTTGCCTTTGGTATGGGATTGTTCTTAGAACAAGAGTGTATTACTTAAAAAAGACAGTATAAATACTGAGTATCAAAATGGGAAAGTTCTAAATATATTATGAGCATGAACCTCTTGTGAAACATCTAGATCTATTTGGCTTTTGGGATTGTAGATGAAAGCATCATCTATTAAATATGTCTTCTGTAAGGCAGAAAGAGAAGGAAGTAGAATAAAACTTTGATATCTACGATCTACCCAGGGTATCTTTTTTTTTCTTGGTAGAATGGTTTTATATTAATGCAATACTAATTTTTAAAATAAATTTATTAAGTTGGAAAGTGTTTGTTAAATAACTGACTCCATGTGTTCTTCAAAGACAGTCTTACTGTTGAAATATAAATTATTTTTGATTCAGTAAGATTAGTGTGAGGTCCCCAGGCACTTTGGTTATTGTGGTATTGGAAGGATGGTCAACATTTATTGAGATCTTTCTATACACCTGCTAATATAAGCATTATGAATATGCTCATTTAATACTCTCTACCACCACAAGAGGTAGGTATTATGACTCTTGTTTCACAGATGAACTGCGGGTTGTTAGCAAGAAAATTTCCAGGCTCACAGAATTCATTCCTTTTTTTAAACAAAACTTTGCTTATTTGCAAATTTTAGTTTTGATAAGAATTTGGAACTCCACGAATGCAAGTGGATTACTCCTAAATCCCTCACTGATCCTGACTGAGCACTTTTGCTTGTTAGGAGAGTTTTCACTCTTGGCTTTGGATTGGCTTTGGGTAAGTCAAGAGTGATCATGGCTTTTCAGTGTCATAAGAGTCAGCTGCTTTCTCTTGCAGCATTATTTTTTTCTACTGTTTTAAAAAACTACCTTAAATAAATGACAGTGTGACAAATACGCTCTTTTCTAATCTACTGTTACACAGTAGTGCATTTTTTGAATAATTTTGGAATGATTCTAATAATGTTAAGAGTTAAACTTATTTTTGAAATAATGGTTTTAGAAGGAAATTTCATATAATTTCTAGGTCAGTGATGGCAAACCTTTTAGAATTTTCATTGATACAAATAGCCTATTGTGGCATATGTTCCATAGGTTTGCCACCACTATTCTAGATAAAAAATTTAGCTTTTCTCTCATGGCAGAAGACTATAATGCACTGAGATATCATTTTGAATGCCAAATTACACTTGTAACTACCAGAGTGACTAAGTTGGTTATTAATTTGTCCTAGTGTTATTGTTCATGAGAATTATTTACATAACCAACTTCATTTAAAGTGCAATACTGTATTGTGACAATAGTGATTGAGAATTTGGATTGTAACTGACAGTGTTTTTAAAAAATGTCATAATTTCTTTTAAGAAATGAACCAGACAAAATGGAAGGTATTTTACTGATAAGAGGAAATCAGTGAGTTATTTGGGTCTCATATAAAGACTGGGGAGAAATCTGTTATGGAGAAATACCATGCTTTTGATGTTTATTGATAATTGTGACACTCCTTTGCAGGTATCACTGTTCAGTGGGGGTAAAGCAGTATCATGAACCACGTAGTTCATTAAGTAGATTTTTGTGTTATACGTACTAGACAATGTCTTGATTACAGTCAAGGAGACAAGTTAACATAAAAGCCAAAATGCCCTTATATTTACATTTATCTCTAAGTTAGTCACTTCGACTGTATCTCTCTACAAGTTGAGTTGGGGAGTCATAAAATTCATCTAGAGAAGACCAGGGTTAAAAGTTGTTTTTTGCAATTATGTTTGATCATGTTGAATCCAGATTGTTACTTAGAGAGAGAGGTAAATCACCTAGCTTCAAACTTTGCCCTTCAGTGTAGATTAGTGAAAAAGATTTATTTTTCTTTGAGGTATATGTGTAATTTGGGCAGTGAGTTTATTTTAGTTGTATATAAATTGAAAAGTTATGTAGCATTTTATAGTAAATACCCAATAAGCCAGGCAGATATTTTACATTTTTTGTAATTTTTCCCCCCTGGAGGTTTCTTATTTTCTGCAATTCTCATAATATAACTAAAGGTGATGCAGTCTATACTGTATAGGCCCTTTGTGTTATCTGGTCAAAATTAACATGTTAGATGAGAAAAGTATGCTATGATCCAGTGCTTTGTTTTTTAAAAACCCTTAAGATTCTTTTCTATACTTAGTTTTCTTTGAGCTTGGAAACTTTCTTGTATTGAGATTTAGAATCCTCACTGTTTCTATAATTGAGCTTTCCAGGAATTTTTCATTTTAACTTTTGTTTTTGCTTTTGCATATATGTAATTTAAAGATGCTAGTGTTAAGTATTAAAAATTTGACTCTTCACTGCCACTCTTTATGCATACAAATGTATGTGACAAGAGAACTTTGTTACTTGTGTGCTGCCTTTGATCTGATCTTTGAGAGGTTGTAAATGTCTACATTGCAAACAACTTTAATATTATAGTTGCATAGTTGAAAGCTGATATAGGATAAAAGTTTGGTGTATGGTAAAGTATTTTCAAGGTGGGTGGATATTCTATTTGAAGGCATAAGATTATTGGCATTCCAACAGCATTTTTTCTTTTAATTTTTTTTTTTATCAAGCACCCAGTCATCTTGAAGAGTCTCAAAAGGACCCTACCACTGAGAAATCAAGATGGCAGTCCACTATGGGGAATTGAGGAAAATGGATTAATACAAGAGTGCTGTGATAAAATACCATCAAGACAGGGTTGTTTTAACATGGATTCAGTGAAATGAATGAAACCTATTTTAACCAACAAATGGACAGTGGATTTGACTTTCTAAAGACTTTTCTAATAATTTAAACCAGTTCATTTTTGACATTTGGAGAAGATGGCACATTAACACAGATGGTAGTGTGTATGCCTGAAATATTTTTTTTTGTACATTTTGATTTGTTTGAATATGACCTCATGGAATGTTAACGTTAATAAAATTTCTAACATTTAAAAAAATTTCAGTTTGGGCCTTTTTTTTTTCAAGTGGAAGTTTCATTAAATATTCAATTACCTCCATAATTGTTTGATTCTTGCAGTTGTCCAAGCAGTATACCCAATAAAACTGGTAACATGGAAATGATGTGCTAGAATATGTTTTACTTCGTTGATAAAGATTTGCATTTTCTCACAAAGCTATGGTAATTTATCTGTTCTTTGGGATGGTTATTAGGTTAAAACATGATTTTGTTCAGATTTGTTTGAAGTTTTGAATGAATTTCCTTAAAATTCTCTTTGGACTTTCTTGAAACGCTTTTCAAAACAACTTAGTGTTTAGTAATAGGAGCTTTTAATTTATCATGAAATTTAATGGTCTTATGTTTTGTTACCCTCAAACTCAGGATGATACCTGCATTCCTCTCTGAATTATTTTGAGTTGATGGAAATGTTCTTGTGCTTTTTAATGTTATAAATAAAATATCTTGCAGTAGAATATTCATTTGAATATTTAAACTTAGGTCTCTTTTGTTAATGTTAGGGGAAGGATATTGAATTTATAGGGAAGCGTCATTAGGGTATATACAAACTGGCTTAAATCTTCGGTGGAAATGATGGCTATAATGTGTTATATTTACATTTGAAGTAGGATTTATAGCTTGTACTTTCCTTACTGGGAATTCAGAATAATTGAATTACACCCTGCATGCCATGGATTATTACCTATGTTTGAATTTCAGTTGCTACACCTTCATTTCTTGCTAATCAACTAATACCAGTTTCAGTAGCTATAGTATTTTAGCTTTATTTTGATAGGCCAGATGAGTCAATTGGTTATATTTTCCCATTTTACTAAGAACAAAGAATAGTTATGTTTAATTTATTATTTGTTAGAAATAAACATACTGTGTGATGAATTAAATACAGTACCATAGTGTGCACATCCATGGTCAACATGTGTTATGCTTTTTCTCACTGACTGATGTTTTGTGGTTGATTGATCTTTGTAAATTCCAAAGAGGAATTTTGGATTTTGATTTGATTGAAAAGTTATCTGTATGGAATTTAAGCCGTTTTGATTTTGGCTTTACATTCATTAGTTTCAACATTGCATTTGTTAGTTGCAAATCTGCAGTGGATTGTCTTACTGTGGGAATGATGCATTTCTGACAGATTATAATGCGGAATAAAGGGAGTTGATTGGATTTTTAGGGCATGTTAATGAATGCTTATTCATCTGCATCCGTGCTCGATGAGAACTTTGAGTAGTTGTTTTTGGCATTAGTAATTTTTTGTTTCTGTAGATCTGGAGGTCTTGATCTTTGGGAGAATTTTCCCTGTGACTTTTTTTAATAACTTGCCGTCAGATATGACTTATTGCTAATGATGTGTCATTGTTGACATGGGTAGATAGAGTTTGATTTGAAACATGAAGGAAAGGTTGGGATGTGTGTTCTATTGGTTTTGGAGATTGAGTTTCTTTAGTTTCTGATTTAAAGGTTACTATGTTTGGACTGTATGCTTGAGTTTGAAGACGTTTGTTTTGCCTAAATCATTGTGGGAAATAAATATAGTATGATTATGAGATCATATAGTATGATTATGAGATCATTTTGGTGGTTTTAGTTCCAAGATTCCATAATGGGTTAAAGAATTTTGTAAAAGTGAAAAGAAATACCGTGTTTCTTGAAAAATATGGGCTATGTTAACTTTTGCCCTAATGCAACTGAACACTAGGGAGGCGCTCTTGAGTTGCAAAATTTTCCCTTTTCTTCCAATTGGGATGGAAGATCCCCCCCTAAACTTTATGTGTAGATGATTTTTAGGCAACATAAAGCAAGCCTTGAATTTAATTTATGAAACAGGTTTTGCTTTTATTTAGAAGCTATTTTGCCCATGGGGGGGCTAATAGTTTTAAAGATTAGTACTTAATCTGGGCTTTAGATTTTCTAAGAATTATCCCTATTTCAAAATGGCTTGATAAAACACCACTTCCTGTCCAGGGAGGAAGTTATTTTAGCTCAAGGACTGAAATATTTAGCAGATCTTTAGACAAAAGGAACAAATTACATTTCTCTCTGGCTTAAAAAGGGTGCTTGAGCCAGAGGGGGTTAAGAAGCCCTTCCCCCTCCCTCTGATGGGGTGGTCTGGAGGGGCAGGGAGGTGTGGGGGTGGGGGGTCTTTAGGCTCTCTGGGATGGAGGATCTTTTTTTTTCT